GTAGTGGAAATTTTGAGTAGTTCGGAGAACTGGTAAATACCATCTCTGACGGACTCCGTCCCCATCTATTCTCTGCCTCCCAAGTCCTAGCTGATCGGGAGGAAATGGAGATTTTACAGTATCTTTCCCCTGCGATGCCCATCAAGCCACGCCACACCACGCCCACCAAGCCATGCCCACAGAACTGGTAGTAAAAAAATTTGAATCCCACCACCAATCGTGACAGATTGGGCTTTGCTTGTTTGTGCTGACCAATTTCTGGTGTGCCACGGATGGGTGCCAGTCCACAAACTGGAGGTTGGGGACTATATAATCACATTTAAGCTTAGGAATTCTGTTCCCACTCCTCTTTTCTGGAATTGCCAAGATTAAAGCCTTTAGACTCCCGTTGAAGGCTAATAATTTCCCCTGGCATGGAAAAACACATTATAAGAATATATATTTTCCCTGTCATTTAATGGTTAACCTTATATTAGGATTTCTTAATTCATTGCCTTTACTTGTATTCATATTTTAATTTTGAATACAACTCTGCGGTGTTTTTTACACGTTTGCCACACACATATACACAAATATGTGTAATCATACATCCCCCCACTCAGTTGCTTCTGTTTTCTCGAGAAGTATTAAGAAAACTAGGAATATGTGATAGCGATTGATTTTCTATTAGAACATAGGATGACATAGAATAACACAGTTGGAAGGGACCTTGGAAGTCATCTAGTCCAACCCCCTGCTTGAATAGGAGAGTTTATAGCAGTGATGGTGAACCTATGGCATGCATCCCAGAGTTGGCACACAGCACCCTCTCTGTGGGCACGCAAACTGTCACCCCAGCTCAGCTCTGCTGCGCATGCACATGTGCCTCCCACCAGCCAGCTGATCTTCGGGTCTCTGGTGTGCATGTGCAGGAGGGTAGGCCGCATGCAGGGTCTCTGCTATGCAAGCATGGGGGGTGCATGCACATGCATGGGGTGGGGTGCATGCAGGAGCCACATGTGTATTGCATTTTGGGGGTTCGCATGCATGCCTGATTTGGGTCCCTCGGTCTGGAAAAGGTTAGCCATCACTGGTCTATACCATTTTAGACAAATGGTTGTCCAGTCTCTTCTTGAAAGCCTCCAATGATGGGGCATTCACAAGTTCTGAAGGCAAACTGGTTAATTGTTCTCACTGTTAGGAAATTAATCTTTCCTATTGGTTTATGTTGAGTTATTTTATTGTGGTACATATTTCTATAAGTTCTGTTTTATTGTTCATCATTCAGAGTTGATAGGATTGAGCAATAATGTAAATACATTAATAGTAATAGTAATTATTATTATTTTTCCTTCACAATTATAATTCATTGTAAGTGCTGTTATGGTTATATTATCTTCTTGGCATCAGAGCGAAAAAGGAACTTATTTCCTTGCTAAACATTTCTAGTACAGCAATCATGAATTATTAATGGAGAGAAAACTCAATGACATCTTAAATCAAATGATTGAGCATCTGTTTAATTATGAAACAGGAGAAAAGGAAGAGGCAAAGAAGTTGAAAGTACTCAAGTGTTCCCTTTTTCAGAAAATATGGAAAGGGCAGATGGTGAAATGTAATAGAATTCGACGTGGGATGACATTCTAGGAGGACCTCTGCGGTATTACTTATAGAACACCATGGATGTATTGAGTGAAGCTTTCAAGAAGGTTATCTTAAAGAGGATGACAGTCTCAAAGAAGGAGGGAGGAATACCTCTGTGGTGAAAAGGCTGCCATTCTTTTCACAACAAGATTGTGGCACTCTCTGGAAATTGTCATAACAACATCTGGCATTGTGCCTGACTCTCAAACAATCCAATGCATATGCTTTTGATATTTAAGTCTACAGAACTTTCAGATGACTCAGATAGGACAATATGTCTATCATCATGCTTCTGTTGACATTGTCCAGTTGCTAGCATAGCAGCTTGATCTAACCTAGGCTCATATTTCTTTCAAAGATATAAACAAATCTAACCAAACACAGATCTATGTCACTCATTGACTTTGTAACAAATGTGGAGTTAATTCCATTGACTTTCTATCAAATAGTTTGCTTAGTCTAATGGTCCCATGTGATTTCTGTAATGGTTTGGCATAAACAGAACACCCTCTTGATGTTAATAAATTAATGAATGGCATAGATTTCCTTTTTGCCCTGTTAAAGTGAAGGCACTGTAAAGCTTCTACACCGATCCAAAAAGGGTGGAACTGCAAAGCAAGAAATTCAGCATGTGAACTGACATCAACTGGAAGATAAACTCTACAGCAAGGGGAGATCAGACAGGTTCTTGACATGTCTAGCTGATAACCTTGTTACCCAAAAGATAGAGGAAGGAATGAAACAGTTTGCTGTAATGGACTGCACTTAGATAGGAAAAACCAAATGCACAGGTACAGAATAAGTGATACCTGGGTCAGCAGTAGTAACTGCAAAAGAGTAAACTAAGTAAACTATCATTAGCTGTCTTCTGGTAGAGAAGAGAGGGTTGACTTATTCTCCAAAGCATGAGAGGGCAGGAAAAGAAACAATGGGTGGAAGCTCATCAAAAATAGATTCACCCTGGAACTATGAAGACATTTCCTGCCAGTGAATCAACAGAATATCCTGCCTCCCAGACTTGTGGTTACTCCATCCCTGAAGATGTTCAACAAAAGGTATCACAATCATTTTTTTTCTGAAACATTATATGGTTTTGTGCCTTGTGTAGAGGGTTGGACTAGAAGTCCTCCAAAGTCCTTTCCATCTTTCTGATTCTATTCTATTCTATTCTAAAAGGTAACTTATAACCTATTGATGTGTTGATGTGTTTGAATACATGAGCATTTGTAGATCAATGGGTGGCTATAAGGCTCTTTGTATCTCTGACCCTGTTTCAAACAGCCTTCAACCCTTAGTTCAGAAACCCTCTTCAATCAAGCAATTCAGATCTCAGGGAAGCGATTTGTCTTTTGGGTGGCCTTGTACCTGTCATGCCTATAGCCATCTTTTCCTTTGGATCTTTGGCCTGCCACACTTTCTATTATTCTNTACCAGCAAGATAGAATAATTAGCTCTTTAATTCTGTGGATACATTTATGCCTTTTGAACATTTATATTTTTTTGCCAGAACAAGTAGATTTTATATACCTGTTCTGAGCTGTGGTTAGACACAGTGGTTAGAATTCAGTATTGCAGGCTAATTCTGCTGACTGCCAGGAGTTCGATTCTCACCGGCTCAAGGTTGACTCAGCTTTCCATCCTTCCAAGGTCAGTAAATTGAGGACCCAGATGTTGGCTCTGTAAACTGCTTAGAGAGTGCTGTATAAAGCAGTTCATAAGTATAATTGCTTTTGCTATATATTTCAGATTTGAATTACTGCTATTTATTGTCATTCACCGTAGGCTTACTTATCAATGCATTCTTTGTCCAAAGCAAAGATGTTACCTTATGCACCAGAGTAGAAATCTAAATCACTGTTGCATAACCACAGTGCAGTTTACTGCACTTTATAGCAATTTGCTTGCCTAGTAGCTATGTCTGTTTTGCTTTCAGAAATTGTTGAAGAACATTTACCTGTATCTGTGAATGTGTTATCCCCATTCTGGGACCAGTGAATTCTAAATTTTGCAGAGATCCTTTACATTAAATACTAAACATAATGTGTATCTTATTTGCACAGGAATTCACTGAAGATGTGTAGCAGCCTCAACAAATGAACAGAAGCCTAAATATATCCTATATGCTTGGGTAAATTCTGCATGTACTGATCCGGTCCATCAATTTTAAGAGTGCTGTTATCATAGTGGAAAAGTCTGCAGACATTTTGATGGCATACAGGGGGAAAGTGTAGAGAACATACTATAGATTGCATAAAGGATAATGGGACTCTCTCTCATTAGTTTAGCAGTAGTAATAGCAATTGTGGGTGATAGATTAGCAAGAAATCAACAAAGCTGTTCAGAGAAGATGGTCCAGTATGGTGTCACCTACATGGGACAGGAAAAGACAATGTTGCTTCTATTCCAACCTCAGGCTGCTTGTAAGCAAAAGACTGTCAAATTAGGATAGAGGATGATAGACAAAGCAAGGAAGTTAAACTCACTTGTTATGGACGAAAGCTCTGCATGATA